GCCTGGCCACTTTTTTGGTTGCAGCCATCATTGTTGTTTGGCAGGCCCGGGCTGGGGATTCGAACCTGCCACCTTGGGTGTATGTGGCTGGCGCCTTAGCCACTTGAGCCACAGGCGCCGAGCCTAATTTCTCCTTTTAAACAAAGTAGATTGGGGTCTTGATAGTCCCTGGAACAGGCAGGCGATGGGGAGAGTGCTGCCTCCAACTAGTTGTAAGTCCATTTGGACTCCTGGCTGGGTTCTTCCCTGAGGCCTGGGTTTCAGAATTTCCCCTTGGCTCTGAATTTCCTTGGCCTCCATCTTGGCACTGTCTGGTGGGCCGCCAGCCCATATATCTTGTGGCTGCTCGATAGAGCCGCTGGGGTCTGACACATCCATCAGCCAGCCTTGGTGGGCGGGGCTGTGCCTATGTGTGCAGAGGCAGTGAGAGGGATGGGGCAGTGCCTGGCCTGAAGGCCACCAGCTGCACCTTCACAGCTCTGGCCCATACAGAACTAGGGATCAATTAGGGAACAGCCCTGACTCCCTCCAAAAGTAAGGCACTTCTGCTCTAGTCTGGAGAGGCCTGGGGGTGGGGGAAGGGCTAGTGGTCACGCTGGGGTCATCCAAGTGATGGCACCATCATGGAGTCCCAGAGGGATGGCTGGGGGATGAGTCTGCTGCCTGGTGCTGGCTCATTTATCATGATGCTTCTATTTGCTGAGGTCACTCCCTCCCTCCTTTGCCCGCCTCCCACCCAGGCCTGCCCACATTTTTGATGGTCTGTTACCATGGTGAGGCTACCGCATCACCACCCTATTGTTCCCCCATGCCTGGATTTGGGGGTGGGGAGAGGTGGAACTCATAGCTCCCTTTGCAAGATGCAAGGGCCACTCGGCCTGGCCTGAAACACACCCCCAGGGACATCTTGCTAGGCTTGTTGAGGCCCAGACAATATGCAAATAGCCTCTAAGCCAGATGGTCGGCTTCCAAAGGAGCCCAGGGGAGGGGAAGGGTTAAGCAGAGTGGGGGGGCTGGTGGCTTGAGGATGGCTCTGGGATAGATGGGGGCTGGGGAATCTCATTTCACCTTCCTACTCTGTCCTCCTTTCTGTTTATACTGAGGGTAGGCTCCCTCCTGAGATCTCATAGGATCATCCAGGAGTGAAATATTTATTGAGCAGCTACTATGTGCAGGTGCTAGGGAGAGGGTGGTAAGTAAGATGAACACAGAGCCTACCTCATGGAGCCAGAGACAGATGGACCTCCTTCATTAGCGATGGGAAATACTATCGCCTTCAGCTGGGATCAAGAGAGTCCTTGCCCAGGGAGTTAAACCCTGGAACTCAGTCCTGAAGGAAGAGTAGGGTGGGCTGGGGAGCATTCTGGACAGAAGGAAGAGCATATGGGAAGGCCTGGGGCAGGACAGAATTGGCAGGTTCAAGGTAGTAGAACAGAGACAGCAAGAAACTCAGTATGAGAAGCCAGAGCAGGTGAAGCCTTATAGGCTTTAAGAAGGGGCCTGCTCTGGAAGGGCCTCTCCCTCCTAGTGAACTCTAGTGGTATCTAGCAAGATACCACTCTGCAGGAGCCAAGCCCGCACTGCTTAGGCCTGGTGCTCAGGTTTCTTTGCCTCCACACTGAATTAAATATATGGCACTGGCTTTACCATTACTAGAAATGGGGTTTGAGGGCGTGGCACAGTTTGCTGAACCCCAAGATGTTTGCTGAACATGAGGACAGACTATGGAGGGAGATAGAGGGAGGAGGAACAGGTTAACAGCATGGACTATGTAGTCACATGGTCCTGGTTTTGAGTTTGACCTCATTACTTTCTAGTTCTATGAACTTGGGTAAGAAAATTCTTCCTTTTTTTGGGTAAAACAGCCATGGTAAGACTGTCTCAAAGGGTCATGTGGGGACCAAATAAGATGATCTGTACAAAGCTCTTGATGCTGTGGCTGGCACAGAAAGCTGTAATCATTTTAGCATGCAGAGGAAGAACCTATATCCTTTGCACTCTGCCCAATGGGCTGGTACTCCTGGTTGGGGTGGTTGGGGAGGTGGGGTGTTTAATAGTTAGCCATTAATCAGACAGTGCTGGGACTGGGTGGTGTTTTCTGTGGAGTCCAGTACCTTCCCATCAGAAGTCAGACTGGGGGCTGGGGATGGTGGCTCACACCTGTAATTCTAGCATGCTGGAAGGCTGAGGTGGGTAAGCCTGCTTGAGCTCAGGAGTTCTGAGACCAGCCTGAGCAAGAGTAAGACCCATCTCTAAAAAAAAAAAAAAAATAGCCAGGTATTGTGGCAGGTGGCTG